AACTGTATATTTGATCGGATTAGGTCAGGTAAGGTCAGGGTGTCTTCTTTTCCCTCTAAACGTCAAGCTATCGAATAAGCTATACATATGTGTAAGTGCTACTGACCATGGAGGCTCAAGGGCTAGTTTTGCGATTCCCTTCCAGGATTACTCGGTGTTTTCCTTTTTTTTTGCATTCAGCTCTTCCATATACCTTTTCTTTGGTCTTCCTTCCTTTTTTGTATATTCTTCACCAGTCTTTTTTCGGGAGTTTTTCGATGTGTCCCAGCCATCTTTTTCTCTGTAACCTGTTCCTTGTATGTGTCCATTACGTCTTCATTCAATCTTCTCCAGCCATTTTCTGTTCGTTTCCCATCAAATATCGTTCCCAAAACTTTCCTTTACACACCTTTCTAGCACCCGAATCAACAAATTTTGGGCCTGTATTCGTCCAGTAATAAGACAAAGAAATAACTTGTTATACACCGAAGTACCACAAAATCGGTTCTGAAGGTATTCTTCCGCATAATTCTAGTATTTGGGACTAAAAGGGAAGCCGATCTAAAGACTGGATTCATAGTGGAAGCGTCTAGAAGAATTGAAACTTCCACACTAATCACGGAATCGTGGGTATTTTAAGGTCCTAATATTCCAATTGGACATACTTGCTGAAAGTTGTGAGTTATCCCGAAAGATCAAGGATTCTGGCAGGGCAAATGTGTGGAGTAGAATCAATACATAGGACAGGACAGGTCAGGTTAGGTCAGGTTAGAGTGTCTTCCTTTTCTTCCCTCGGAACGTCAAGCCATCCAACAAGCTAGATGTATTTGAGTATATTCGAATGCGGAATCGCCCTAATTTGGAATATACGAGTACTAGGCTAGATATCCTCTAATATGGATTTCCAAAAACCCTTGTGGTTCTGGTTTTCAGGTTGAAAAAAGTGGGTTCGGATATTATGAAGATTCCCAGGTTCATCTTTCGGACTGCTATCATTGCTACTGGTTTGAGTTAATTCAATGGATGGCTTAAGTGCGTAGACAACCTTTCGCTAAGTCAGTTCCGCCTTTGTTAAGGTCGTTTCGAATGACGGGCCCCTAACCTGGGTGAATCCGAATAAAAAAATTTGGGACCAGTGGTCGTCCGGCAAATAATTATAGGTACGAGGGAGCTAGAACGTGCGGACTGAGGAATAACTCGCTATCTACCCGTGGAGGTGCCCCAAAATCGGCTCTGAAGAAAGGACCAGTTTTAGTATTTGGAACTAAAAAGGAAGGCGAAATAAAATTGAAGTCAAGGTGGAAGACTCTAAAAGAGCTCAAACTCCCACACTGGTCATGAGCATTTTAAGGTCTTAATATTGTAATCGGACAAGCTTGCAAAATTGTGGGTTATACCAATAGGTCATGGACCCTGGAAGGCTAACTGTGTGGGGTAGCCAATCCAATATATAGACTCTATATTTAGTCGAATCAGGTCAGGTAAGGTCAGGGTGTCTTCTTTTCCCTCTAAACGTCAAGCCCCCGAGAAAGGTATAAATATAATCGGGTATCTGGAAATTGACGAATTAACTCTCTGCTACGCTTTTAACAATCAACTGGTGAGCCCCGCCCACCCTTCCTCTCTTTTTTTTGTAGGTATCTCATTTGCCATAATCACTCTTATCTTAACAGGTACTAGCCCCGCCCACTCACCATTTCCATTCTTAGAAGATATGTCATTCTTCTCTTAGAAGGTTTCTCATTTGCCAAAATCTGTCTTATCTTGACAGCTACTAGCCCCGCCCACCCACCCTTTCTTTTCTTAGAAAGTATGTCATTGCCAAAAATCAGTTTTATCTTAGCAAGTAGTGATGAATAACTTTTACAAAAAATGATCAAAATTTGGAAATATTACGAGCTTATCAGCACAGGCAGGAATTTTGACCATCTCTAGTGTTTAGTTAGTTATGTTTTAATGGATTTGTCTATCTAGTACCTGCTAAGATAAAACTGATTTTGGCAAATGGCATACCCACTAAGAAAAGAGAGGGTGGGTGGGCGGGGCTAGTATCTGTCAAGATATGACTGATTTTGGCAAATGAGAAATCCATAAGAAAAGAGAGGGCGGGTGGGCGGGCCTAGTACCTGCTAAGACAAATCTGATTTTGGCAAATGACATACCCTCTAAGAAAAGAGAGACCGGGTGGGTGGGGCTAGCACCTGCTAAGGTAAGACTGATTTTAACAGATGACGTAAGACATTTAATTAATTTATTATAAGAAAAGACACTAGTGGCTTCAAAGCACTTTCAAATTCTTTCCAAATAGAAATATTTAGAACCTCAAGATTGTTTTAAATTTTCAAAAAAAAAAACTGGGTCCTAAAATTAACTCAAAAACAGGTCAGGTCAGAGTCATATTTTAAAAGTTAATGTTTAGTTGATTATGCTTTAATGGATTTTTCTTTTGTTGATTTTGCTTTTATTAATAATTTATAAATGTCTTATTAAATGTTTTTTTTTTGGTTTATTTAATAATGAAAAATAACAGCTTATTTTATTAATAATAATGCAGAACGATTAATGTCTAGGCGGATTTCAGTCATCATCGTTACTAACAAATCAGAGAGTAAGCCGGAGGTATTCACACATTAGGTGCGTGCAGTGTTGCCAATTTTACTTTTATAAAATAACGTTTTTTTCATAATCTACATCATAAAGAATTTGTTTTGTTATTTTTTTGGGGCTTCCGAAACCCGCGTATATAACGTACTGAAGAGTTAATACGCCATTTTCCAAACACCCGGTATATGTGTAAGTGCTACTGGCCATGGAGGCCAAGGGCTAGTTTTGCGATTCCGTTCCACTGTACTCGGTCTTTTGCTTTTTTGCATTCATCTCAGCGAACCTTTTCTTTGGTCTTCCTTCCTTTTTTGGGCCTTCTTTCCAGTATCTTCTTCACCAGTCTTTTTTTCGGAAGTCTTTCGATGTGTCCCAGCCACCTTATTCTCTGTAACCTGTTCCATGTACGTGTCCATTACTTCTTCATTCAGTCTTCTCCAGCCATTTTCTGTTCGTTTCCCTCCAAATGTCGTTCTCAAAACTTTTCTTTCCCACCTTCCTAGGACCCGAATCAACAAATTTTGGGCCTCCGGGAATAGGGCAAAGGAATAACTTGTTATACAGCCACCGAAGTGTCTTAAATTAACTCTCAATTTATTCTTCCACAGAATTCTAGTACTTGGGACTAAAAGGGAAGCCAATCTAAAGACTGGAAGAGTCTGGAAGAGCTGAAACTCCCATACTGATCACGGGATCGTGGATATTTTAGGGTCCTAATACTCCAATTGGACAAACTTGCTTCAAAGCTGTGGGTTATCCCAACAGGTTATGGATCCTGGGTGCGAGCTGGGCCAAGCTATTTGGGAAAAAGTTTAGACAAGAGACAAACAGGGTGACTTTGTGAGGCCTTGAAAAGTAATAGGTGGTTCTGGGGGCCAAGTTATTTGAAGATATTAGGTTGTAATAGGATGACTTTAAGGGCGGGATTTCCGATCCCCACAATATATTTTCGAGGAAGTCCTGTCTTCTATGAAGAAAAGGGTTAAGATAATATGAAATTTTCCACTAATACTAAATCGGATTCCAAGTAATAAGAAATAGTTGTAGTATTTGGGACTAAAAGAAAGGGGATCCTAATGTCCTAATCTTCCAATTAGACAGGCTTGCTTGCAAAGTTGTGTTATCTCAACCAGTTATTGACTCTAGGAGACGAGTTTTGTGGGATAGTTGACCCGATATATACTCTCTTAAGCCCAGCAAGTTCACATTCCCGTATAGTGGAGTGGGTGGGTGCAGGAGCAGCGGATAGGTTTTCCAACAACCTTGGGGTGTAGGGACTGGCTAATTCTTACTCAAACCTGAGTACTTCTACAAGTCATGGAAACTTGTGTCCAAGAAAACTTCCCTTATATTGCAAGTGGTCTGGTGATGTGTTTGTCGGGTGAGCAACATAATTTGTAATTGAGTCATTGCTGGAATTGAATCCGTACCTACGTCCCAGAAAAGTTTTTAACGAAATTAATTTTAATTGCTTAAAAGTCAAAAACTAAAATCCTTATAAACGAAATACAAATTATTTACATGCACTTTTATTAAAAATCTTATTAAAAAGTGTTCGCGATTTTGCTTTTATATTTGTCATTTTTGTCAGTGTGGTTTAATCACCGACATGCGAAATGTTTCCAAGGATGGCTGCGTTACAAATTATGTTGCTCGCTCGAACTGTCATTCTTGCTTCTCAAGATTGGGAGAGAATGGCGCCGAGGGTCCCACCCACGGGTTTCCCAGTCTGAGGATGTCCCTTTTCCACACTAATCGTGGGCTCCTTGGGGACCCACTTTGGGTTGGACTCCAGGGAGCATGGTGATGATCTTGGGGATCTCTTTGTCTTTCAGTTCGAAGACCTCGCACTATCTCTGGGAACGGGTGTCCCCAGAGAGATTATTACGATTACTAGCGTTATAATTATTAAAATTAATACAGAAAAACCTAGATCTAGTTAAACGTTCCAGAATCCATAGTCCCGAAATCCCGAATCTACTTTGAAAACGACGCTGCGTCCACACGTCCCGGAATTTGCGCCCGCAGCGCAACTCCCCCAAATCACTTTCCGTCTTGAACATTTTATACAAGTCAATTATCGTCGCCATTATTTTCCAACTGTAGCCGGTTAAGTCCCCCTCCCCGCCGCCCGACCGGTTTTTAACCGATCCGCAGCAGCAAACAAAGTCTAAACTTCCCCCTTGTTCGCATTTTAATTAATTGTGTTGTTATCGCAGTTCAGCGTACAAAATTTGTTGGGGGTGTAGCGTTCGCGAGTTCTGTTCTGGTTTTAATATTTATTGAAATTTTGCTACATCAGCTCGAGCGGTGAAGAGATCCGACACACGCACACATGTATACTGCATTATATAGTATATTCTCACAGGCGCTTGCACAGGAGTTATTTAATTAGAGGAACAGGTTGACGCTTTACTTACAAAGTTGGGGAACGTCGGGGGGCTTTGCTGCTGCTGCTGCCGATTCCGTTCTGCTCCTGAGGGGGTGAAAAGGGCATCAGGCCTCGGCAGCCCGGGGGGCGTCGTCGTGTCAGCACCTGTTAACGTTACACCTGTCTTATTTCTATGGAATTTATTGCGCTGCCACTAAACGCGAGAGTAATATGCGCTACAGAACAGACAAGATCGAAACAGGGATGATTGGTAGCAATTCCAAAACTGCGCTCCGGTGAAAGGGCGCACAAAAATGCTCTCGCAAACCTAGCAAAGGTTGGTTCACTCACATAACACAAATCTGGATGTCTGGGGTAAAAATTGAACACGGATTCATAAACCACATATGAAATATTATAGTAGCCAGTCGTTGATTGACAATTAGGTGAAACTAACTTCAGCTGAATCTTTCATATGTGGTTTTTCCATGCGTTTTTACTTCGTGTGCACCAGTTTACAGGTCTGATTAGTTCTGCTGTGCATCAAGTGCTCTTGGGTTGTGTTTTCTGAATCTGACTAGGCAAGCACCGGTTTGTGTTTTCAGTCCATATGAAGCGCAGTTGTAAAGTCCAAGTGCAGTAGTGGAATAGCTACGGGATTCTGATCTCTATAAACTGCTCAAATTCAAGGTTCGATTTAGTTCACGAACAAAATTGTCTCTGTATTCCAGTAAGAAAAGGTGAAATAAAAATGCACTCTCAATATAATAAAAAACGTTTATTCCTTAATCGATACAAAAATAACTGGGTTTTTTTAAGTGCCTCCACTTATCATCATATGCCTTGCATAATAAATAGTTTATTGTGCTGCCTGTACGGATAGTCTAATTTCGAAAGAATCCCTTAATAAAACTTTCCTACTGAAACTCGTTTCGCTGAAAAAACATGACGATACCATTCAGTAAATCAATATTAAATGTGGCACAAGATACTACAAGCGGTGCACGAGATCTCTAAGTGGCCCTCTATTTATATTTACATATCTCGCCTTGAGCAACAGTTGTAGTTTTGGCGGCTCAACTTCCCTAATACGGCCGATCCGACTCTTGTACAACGTATTTTATACGATCGGGGGCTTTGCGAGCCCGTTCTCCCCCGAAAATCCAAAAACGCCTCCCCCCACCACCCCACGCACGTCGCCGCCCCTATTTACGCATTTCCCGACCCACCCCGCCGAAATTTGCATTTTACGACCCTCCAAACTCCCCCGAGGCCGTCGAAATTTTCGACATCCATCACACCCCCGGAGTCAGCCCGCGCGAAGACAATCGCCCGGCCCCGATCAGGGAAGTCGCCGCCGCCGATACACACACGCGCTAGCTAGATTTTGCCGAAAGTGGTGAACGGATAGCGTATCGTGCACTCACCTCGGGGCGTGTTGAGTATATCTGGTTGCCTATCTACGGACGAGTTGGCGACGACGTGCGACTGCGGCGTCGTGCCGCAGTCCGCCGCCGGCTTGAGGGTGTAGGCGACGACGTAGCGGTTGTCGCCGGTGTTGATCTCCAGCATGGAGCCGGGGCGCGAGGACGCCTGCTGGCCGGGGACCTTCGGCTGCTTGGAGGGATCGAGCTGGTGGGAGCAGTGGGAGCCGCCGCAGTGGCGGTGCTTCCGGCGCACGGCGAGGACGACGATCAGCAGCACGGCGATGCCGAGGGTGAGGAGCGAGCCGGTGAGCAGGGCGGCGATGGGCAGGATGCTCATGCCGGTGCTGCCGTCTGCAAAAGTTAACTCACTTTATTATTTTATACCTTTGGAAAAATTTCCCTTTAAAAAAATTGTCTAACAATTGAGAATTTTTTCTTCAGTGACGTAGATCTCGACATGCTGATTTCAAAAATATAGCATGTTGATGGTCACGGAACAACATTTTCGAAAAAATATTGATATTTCAAGGGTCGATTCTGGAAAAACGGTTGCAGTTATCAAAGAAACGAAGTCGGAAGTGAGTTCTAGAGCTCGAAATGAGATATCCTCTAAGAAAATAGAGGGTGGGTGGGCGGGGCTAGTACCTGCTGAGATAAAACTGAACTTGGCAAATAAGATCCCACTAAGAAAATAGAGGACGCATGGGCGGGGCTAGTACTTGTTAAAATACCTAAAACCTCAAGATTGTTTAACTTAACTTGAAAGTATGAGAAATCTAAAAATCTAAAATTTTAAAAATTGAAAAATTAAAAAATGAAAAACTGAATAAAAAAAATGAATAGAAGGATTGAAAAATTGAGAAATAAAGACGTCGAATAATCCAAACATCGAAAAGTTGAGAAATAGAGAAATGGGGGAATAAAAAAAAACTAAAAATGTAAAAGTCCAAAGGTCAAAAAACACAAAAATTTAAATTTCAAAAATCGATTAACAATTGAAAATTTAGAAACGTCAACCAAATATTGATAAATTGAAAAAGCAAAAAATCAAGAAGTTGAAAATTTGGAGGCGCCAAAAATTGAAAAATCGAAAAAATCTAGAAATTGAAGAAATGAAATATTGAAAAATCTATGTATTGAAATAATCAAAAAATTGAAAAATTGAAAAATCGGGAAATTAAAATATTCAAAATTGAAAAATCCTGAAATTGACAAAATCCCAAAAGTCCCAAAAATGAAATGTTAAAAAATTGAGAATTTGAAAAATTGAAAAATTTTAGAAATCGAAACGAGATGTTGAGAAATCGAAAAATTCAAGTCCATATAAAAAGTTAAAAAACAAAAATAGAAACATGAAAACATAGTTAAAATCCAAAAATTAAAATGTCAAAGAAATGAATCGAAAAATTCAAAAATCGAGAAGCCGCAACATCAAAAAATCGAAAAATTGGAAAATTGAAACGATAAAAAATTGAAAAATTAAAAATCGAACGAAAAATCAAAAAAATTAAGGATTGAAATGGTGAAAAATCCCAAAGTGAAAATTGATAAAACAATAAATCGAAAAATCGAAAAAAAAAATGGAAAGAAAACTGAATGTATAAGATATCGAAAGGTCGAAAATTTTAAATATCGAAAAATTAAAAAATGAAAAACCTAAAAACTCGAAGAATTGAAAAACTGAAAAATTGAGAAATGAAGACCTCGAATAATCCAAACATCGAAAAGTTGAGAAATAGAGAAATGGGAGAATAAAAAAAAACTAAAAATCTAAAAATCCAAAGGTCAAAAAATACAAAATTTAAAATTTCAAAAATCGATTAATTGAAAATTTAGAAACGCCAACCAAATATTGGTAAATTGAAAAATTGAAAAAGTAAAAAATCGGCAAATCGGGACTCAAGAAATCGAAAAGTTGAGAAATCGAGAAATGGAAAAATCACAAAATAGAGAAATCTAAAAATCAAAAAACTGAAAAATCAAAAAAAAATCCAGAAATTGAAGAAATGAGATATTGAAAAATCTATGTATTGAAATAATAAAAAAATTGAAAGTCGAAACAATGAAAAATTGAAAAATCCTGAAATTGAAAAAATCTCAAAAGTCCCAAAATTGAAATGACCATTGGAAAAATTTCACTTTTAAAAAAGTTGTCTAAAAATTGTGAAAAAATTCAGGGATTTAGATCTCGACCTGCTGATTTCAAAAATATAAGGTGTTGATGGTCACGGAGCAACAATTTCGAAAGAATCTGTACGTAATGCGAATTTTTGAAAATTTCTAAAAATATCGATATTTCAAAGGTCGATTCTAGAAACACGGTTGCAGTTATCAAAGAAACGAGGCCGGAAGTGAGTTCTAGAGCTCGAAATGAGATATCCTCTAAGAAAAGAAAGGGTGGGTGGGCGGGGCTAGTACCTGCTAAGATAAAACAGAACTTGGCAAATAAGATCCCTCTAAGAAAATAGAGGACGCATGGGCGGGGCTAGTACTTGTTAAAATACCTAGAACCTCAAGATTGTTTAACTTAAATTGAAAGTATGCGAAATCTAAAAATCGAAAATTTTAAAAATTGAGAAATCAAGACGTCGAATCCTCCAAACATCGAAAAGTTGAGATATAGGGAAATGGGGGAATAAAAAAAAAACTAAAAATCTAAAAGTCCAAAGGTCAAAAAACACAAAAAATTAAATTTCTAAAATCGATTAACAATTGAAAATTTAGAAACGCCAACCAAATATTGACAAATTGAAAGTAAAAAATCAAGAAATCGAGATTCAAGAAATCGAAAAGTTGAGAAATCGAGAATTGGGAAAATCACAAAATAGAGAAGTCTAAAAGTCAAAATATCGAGAAATCGAAGAATTTGGAGGCGCCAAAAATTGAAAAATTGAAAAATCGAAAAAAACCTAGAAATTGAAAATCGAAACATTGAAAAATTGAAAAATCGGGAAATTAAAATATCCAAAATTGAAAAATCCTGAAATTGAAAAAATCCCAAAAGTCCCAAAATTGAAATGTTGAAAAATTGAGAATTTGAAAAATTGAAAAATTTTAGAAATCGAAACGAGATGTTGAGAAATCGAAAAATTGAAGTCCATATAAAAAATTAAAAAACAAAAATAGAAACATGAAAAAATAGTTAAAATCCAAAAATTAAAATGTCAAAGAAATGAATCGAAAAATTGAAAAATCGAGAAACTTCAACATCAAAAAATCGAAAAATTGGAAAATTGAAACGATAAAAAATTGAAAAATTAAAAATCGAACGAAAAATCAAAAAAATTAAAGATTGAAATGTTGAAAAATCCCAAAGTGATAATTGATAATCGAAAAATCGAAAAAAAATTGGACAATCAAAAAACTGAATGTATGAGAAATCGAAAGATCGAAAATTTTAAAAATCGAAAAATAAAAAAATGAAAAACCTAAAAAATCGAAGAATTGAAAAACTGAAAAATTGAGAAATGAAGACGTCGAATAATCCAAACATCGAAAAGTTGAGAAATAGAGAAATGGAAGAATAAAAAAAAAAACTAAAAATCTAAAAGTCCAAAGATCAAAAAATACAAAATTTAAAATTTCAAAAATCGATTAATTGAAAATTTAGAAACGCCAACCAAATATTGGCAAATTGAAAAATTGAAAAAGTAAAAAATCGAGAAATCGAGACTCAAGAAATCGAAAAGTTGAGAAATCGAGAAATGGGAAAATCACAAAATAGAGAAATCTAAAAGTCAAAAAGTCAAAATATCGAGAAATTGAGAAGTTGAAAATTTGGAGGCGCCAAAAATTGAAAAATCTATGTTTTGAAATAATAAAAAATTGAAAGTCGAAACATTGAAAAATTGAAAAATCGGAAAATTAAAAGATCCAAAAATTGAAAAATCCTGAAATTGAAAAAATCTCAAAAGTCCCAAAATTGAAATGACCATTGGAAAAATTTCACTTTTAAAAAAGTCGTTTAAAAATTGTGAAAAAATTCAGGGACAATTATATAGCGTGTTGATGGTCACGTAGCAACATTTTCGAAAAAATCGGTACGAAATGCTAATTTTTGAAAATTTCTAAAAATATCGATATTTCAACGGTCGATTCCAGAAAAATGGTTGCTGTTATCAAAGAAACGAGGCTGGAAGTGAGGTCTAGAGTTCCAAGTGAGATATCCTCTAAGAAAAGAGAGGGTGGGTGGGAGGGGCTAGTACCTGCTAAGATAAAACTGAACGTGGCAAATAAGATCGCTCTAAGAAAATAGAGGACGCATGGGCGGGACTAGTACTTGTTAAAATACCTAGAACCTCAAGATTGTTTAACTTAAATTGAAAGTATGAGAAATCTAAAAATCGAAAATTTTAAAAATTGAAAAATTAAAAAATGAAAAACCTAAAAAATCGAAGAATTGAAAAATTGAGAAATGGGAGAATAAACAAAAACTAAAAATCTAAACGTCCAAAGGTCAGGTCAGGTCAGGTCAGGTCAAAATACAAAAATTTAAATTTCAAAATTCGATTAACAATTGAAAATTTAGAAAAGCCAACCAAATATTGACAAATTGAAAAAGTAAAAAATCAAGAAATTGAGATTCAAAAAATCGAAAAGTTGAGAAATCTAGAAATGGGAAAATCACAAAATAGAGAAATCTAAAAGTCAAAATATCGAGAAATCGAGAAGTTGAAAATTTGGAGGCGCCAAAAATTGAAAAATTGAAAAAAAATCTAGAAATTGAAGAAATGAAATATTGAAAAATCTATGTATTGAAATAATCAAAAAATTGAAAATCGAAACATTGAACAATTGAAAAATCGGGAAATTAAAATATCCAAAATTGAAAAAATTCCAAAAGGCTCAAAATTGAAATGTTAAAAAATTGAGAATTTGAAAAATTGAAAAATTTTAGAAATCGAAACGAGATGTTGAGAAATCGAAAAATTGAAGTCCACATAAAAGATTAAAAAACAAAAATAGAAACATGAAAACATAGTTAAAATCCAAAAATTAAAATGTCAAAGAAATGAATCGACAAAATGTAAAATCGAAAAATCGCAACATCAAAAATTCGAAAAATTGGAAAAAATTGAAAAATTAAAAATCGAACGAAAAATCAAAAAAATGAAGGATTGATTGAAATGGTGAAATATCCCAAAGTGAAAACTGATAAATCAATAAATTGAAAAATCTAAAAAAAATTGGACAATCAAAAAATCGAAAGATCGAAAGTTTTAAAAATCGAAAAATTAAAAAATGAAAAACCTAAAAATTCGAAGAATTGAAAAACTGAAAAATTGAGAAATGAAGACGTCGAATAATCCAAACATCGAAAAGTTGAGAAAAAGAGAAATGGGAGAATAAAAAAAAATTAAAAATCTAAAAATACAAAATTTAAAATTTCAAAAATCGATTAATTGAAAATTTAGAAACGCTAACCAAATATTGGCAAATTGAAAAATTGAAAAAATAAAAAATCGAGACTCAAGAAATCGAAAAGTTTAGAAATCGAGAAATCGTGAAGTTGAAAATTTGGAGACGCCAAAAATTGAAAAATTAAAAAATCAAAAAAAATCTAGAAATTAAAGAAATGAGATATTGAAAAATCTATGCATTGAAATAATCAAAAAATTGAAAGTCGAAACATTGAAAAATTGAAAAATCGGAAAATTAAAAGATCCAAAAATTGAAAAATCCTGAAATTGAAAAAATCTCAAAAATCCCAAAATTGAAATGACAATTGGAAAAATTTCACTTTAAAAAAAGTTGTCTAAAAATTGTGAAAAAATTCAGGGATTTAGATCTCGACATGCTGATTTCAAAAATATATGGTATTGATGGTCACAGAGCAACATTTTCGAAAGAATCGGTACGAAATGCTAATTTTTGAAAAATTCTAAAAATGTCGATCTTTTAACGGTCGATTCTAGAAAAATGGTTGCAGTTATCAAAGAAACGAGGCCGGAAGTGAGTTCTAGAGCTCGAAATCTACAAGAAAATGCATTTAGTTAAGTATCGAAAATTTAAAAAATTGGCCGAAATAGGAAAAAATTCACTTTTAAAAAAGTTGTCTAAAAATTGTGAAAAAATTCAGGGACGTAGATCTCGACATGTTGATTCCAAAAATATAAGGTGTTGATGGTCTCAGAGCAACATTTTTGAAAGAATCGGTACGAAATGCCAATTTTTGTAAATTTCTAAAAGTATCGATATTTCAAGAGTCGATTCTGGAAAAACGGTTGCAGCTATCAAAGAAAGGAGGCCAGAAGTGAGTTCTAGAGTTGGAAATCTACAAGAAAATGTATTTAGTTAAGTATCGAAAATTTCAAAAATTGGCCGAAATTTGAAGAAGGGGGAACAATTGAAAATATTTCACTTTTAAAAAACTTGTCTAAAAATTGTTAAAAAAATCAAGGACGTAGATCTCGACATATTGATTACAAAAATATAGGGTGCTGATGGTCACGGAGCAACATTTTCGAAAGAATCGGTCCGAAATGCGAATTTTTGAAAATTTCTAAAAATATCGATATTCGCTGGATTTCAAATAATGATTCGGTTGTCAAAAAATTTCACATTTCTATTATGGTCAAACCGGCTTGAGAGAGTGTATATCGGGTCAACTAGTCCACAAAACTCGCTTCCCAGGGTCCATAACCTGTTGCGATTGTCCACAACTTTTCATGCAAGCTTGTCCACATGGAAGCTTAGGACCTTGAAATGCTTACGACCGTGATCAGTGTGGGAATTTCAGTTCTTCCAGATTCTTCCATATAGATTTCACTCTTTAGATGGGCCTCGCTTTTAGCCCCAAATACTACAACTATCTGTTGTTTTTCCTGTTTGTTCAGTTCCAAGGATGATTCGATTACAAATTATGTGGCACGCCCGATCCAACCAAGAAACTTCTGAACTGACCTGACCTGAGTTGATTTGATCTGAGCTGAGCTGACTTGACCTGAATAACCCGTTCTTTTTTTGATTTCAGAGGAGGAGAAAATACTGTTTCCCAGCATTTCAGAGAAGACATACGGATTTAACTCAGCGATACAACCAAGAAATTTCTGAAGTTCTGCCATCACTCACGAGCTATTAATGTTAAATTCGTCAGTCATTTAAAACTTACAGCTCGGTTTAAGACCATTCGACACTTAAAGTTAGCGTACGACATCAACTTTAAGTAAATATTGGTCCAGAGCTAATTGAACTTCACCATACCACTAAAATCGAATAATTTAAAAATTTATTACGTTTAAAAGTTTTCGAGTAATCCGTGTCGACACTTCCCTACAATTATATGAACTTTCGAGAATTCAGGCCAAAAAAACTTCCGTGACCACCTCTCCCTACGCTAATAAAATTTATTCCAGAATTCAGTTCTTTGTAGTACGCTAAACGACTCGATCGTGCCATTAAAAAATCCACACACACACACTAGGCGGCACTCCCTTGTGCTGCAATTCACCGTGTATTGATTGAACATAATGCAGCGCCTTTATTGTGTGGCTTGATTTTCTTGGCGTGCGAGAGTTAGCATACAAAAGTCGAAAGCACAAAGGATCTTCTCAGACTGGGTTAGTAGGGCAAAAGCAAGATTTCCCCCTTTTTTGGAACCGAGGCTTGTGCACGAGAGCGGCAAGATTAAGTGAACAGTGAAGAGAACAAATTTTCGGTTTATTATTAATGGTCACGAGAATGTCGCTTTATTAGAAATTTACTTGAAAATCGCTGTTTACCTGTACGTTTCTCGGCATCATTCAGCATGATGTCCTCGAGCACGAGCTTCTCGCTGCGCCCCTTCGCGTTCTGTGCGTACACCAAGATGCGCAGCGACGGAGGAAACCCCTCCCCCGTCGGCGGCAGCATCTCCCCCAGGTCCAAGCGGAAGACTGGCGAGTCCGTCTCAGTACTACTCAGATTAAGCCGCAGCCTCATGGTGTAGGCGTCGTAGGCCTCGAGGATGAACCTCTGGGGAAGACCTCCGTCGTACCCGGCCCGGCACTCCACCTCCAAGACGTCGGACGTGTGGTTGGTGGCGGCGCGCAGCGTGCAGTTCGTCAAGGGACTGGGTTTCGCTACAAAAACACAGTCACCATTTTACACCCCACTTCCACGTTACTCACCTGCAGGAACTACTTGGAAGACGCACGGTTCGGCTTGCCTCCCTATCGAGTTGCTGCCCCAGCACGTGAGAGTGCCGTAGTCCCGCTGCGACGCGGGGGTGTACATGAGCTCGCTCACGTTGCCCACCGACGTGGAGAAGCGCTTGGAGTCGACGTCGAAGCTCTCGCCGCTGTTGTTGAACTGCCACTCGAAGGTGATGTCGATGGGGTCGGCGGTCACGTGGCAGCGGACCTTGAGGACTTCGTCGAGGGAGGCGCCGATGACTGTCATTTCGGTGTCGCGGCAAACGGGGGCGTCTGGAATGAGAGCGGGTTGCAGACATAGATATGCATTTATGTCGGCTTGGGGAGATGCATGTCTATTGAAAGCGAGCGGCGGCACCCGAGGGATATTAAATCTCTGGTGCAAGTCGAGTTTGGAATTACGGGAGAGTTCGTGATGACTGTATTAAAGTTTCTGGTTGACAGACACTTTTTGAGCGTGAGCTGTCTGTCTGTCGTCTGTGCCAATTTTTGTTAATAGAGACAATCTCCAAAACTAATGGGTCGATTGTTGTCAAATTTTGTATGTAAAATGTATTTAGGTGGTAAAACGCTAACCAGAATTTCCACCACCAATGGGATGGCGTCACCTCCAAAATTACAATAATGTATATTTTTTTAATTATATAAAATAAGATATTCCTGCACTTGTGGTGGTACGTAAAATATTTTGCAATTTAACTTTGAAACTGCACAACCGACTGCTCTGAAATATTGCAAACGTTTTAAGGTTAACATAGTCGTGGTAAATCGTTAATCGAAATTTATTCGTTTGTCCTCTCCCAAAAATTGATGAGCTCATCTCAAAATTTTGCTTAATAAATCCTCTTTAAAATATGCAAATATTTTGACTGTTTATAACCCTTATATTGTCATAAAAAATAAAAATCGCAAGATCAGATCTTACAATTTTTCGAAAAATCTGGATTAATTACTTTCGACGAATTTTTAGTTTTCCTCAATTTTTCAGGTCCTTGATTTTAATTTTTCATTTCTTCGATTTTTGAATGTTCTTTTGCTCGATTTTATTTTATAGCACAATTTTCTGTTTTTTCATTTCCTGTATTTTTTCAATGTTTCTTCGGATTTTATAATTTTTTAAAATTTTTCAAATTTTCATTTTCAAATTTGTAATTTTTAAACTTTCAGTTATCCGATTTTCTGATTTCCTTAATTTTCAATATTTTGATTTTCTAATACATTGCCCAATCGGAAGAGCGGAAAATCGAAAAATTATAGAATCTTTAAAAATGTACAGTCGACAAACTGAAACATTGAGAGATCGAAAAAGCAAAAATTGAAAAACTGGAAAATTCAATAGATGAAAAAGTTAGAAAATCGAATAATGGAAAAATGAAAAAAAAAATTAAAATCGTAAAATTAAAAAAGCAACATACATATTTTAAAGTGTTACATATTTAAAATGGAAACTAGAAAACTTACAAATCAAAAATTGAAGATAGAGGAAATTAAAAAATCTAAAGGCTGAAAAATTGAAAACCGGAAAATTGAAAAATACAAAAACTGAAAAATTCATACTGAAAGAACAAGAAATTATAAAATCTCCATCATTGAAAAACCAAGAAATTGAAAAAATAAAGAAAATAGAAAACAGTAACAAAAAATTGAAGACACGAAAAATTGAAAAATCGAAAAATTAAAACGTCCATAAGTTGGGATAAAAATTTGAAAATGAAAATCCTGTCTTAAAATTGAAAAAACAAAACAATAAAAAAAATAAATAAAAAATTCCAAATCGAAAAATTGAACAAGTGAAAAGTTGTAAAAATAAAAAAATTAAAAATCTAAGCGAAAAATTGCAAACCGAAAATTTTAAGAAATGAAAAACTGAAGAAAGAAAAAATGAAAAACTGAAAAAATTCTAAAATCGCAAATTGAAACGTGAAATATTTTAAAAATTGTTACCTATTTAAAATGAAAACGAGAAAACTTATAAATAGAAAATTGAAAACATGAAAAATTGAAAAACCAAAAAATTGCAAAATCTAAAAGTTGAAACATCTAAAACTTGGAATATCGAAAAATGAAAACTCGAATTGAAAAAACAAAGTATTAAAAAATCGAAACGAAAAATTGCAAATAAAAAATCTGAAGAAACAAGAAATGATAAAAATGATGAAATATCGAGAAATTGAATAACTGAAAAAATTAGAAAATCCAATAATCGAACAATTAAAAAATTCTTAAATCGCAAAATTGAAAGGTTATATATTCTATTTAAAATGAAAACTAGATCCCTTACAAATCAAAAATTGAAGTTAAGAGAAATTAGAAAATCTAAAGGGTGAAAAATCTAAAAATGAAAAAATTTCACATTGAAAGAAAGAGAAATTATAAAGTCAGAACACTGAAAAAAAAAAACGAAAAATTGAAAAAATAAAGAAACTAAAAAACAAACAAAAAATTGAAGACACGAAAAATTCGAAAACCGAAAAATTGCAAGATCAAAAAAGTTAAAACGTCCAAAAGTTGGAAAAAGTGAAATCTCTAAGAGTTACATATCTTAAAATTGAAAAATAAAAAAAAAGTAAAATAAAAATAGAAAAATTGAAAATCGAAAACTATAAATTTTAAATAAAAAAATTGCAAAGTCTAAAAACTGAAGAAATAAAAAAATGAAAATCTGAAAAATCGCAAATCAAAAATTGAAGAAAAATTATAAAATCGAAACAAAAATTGCAAATCGATAAATCGAAAAATTAATAATTGAAAACTGGAGAAACTCAAATCGCAAAAAGTGCAAAATCTAAAAGCTGGAATATTTCACCTTGAAAGAAAATGAAATTATAAAATCAGAAAATTGAAAAGCCGAAAAATTGAAGACATAAAAAATTGAAAAATCGAAAATTTGCAAAATCTACAAGTTCGAAAATCTACAAGTTGGAAAATCGAAACATCGAAAAATTTGAAAATGAAAACTCGAAGAGTCACATGTCTTAAAAATAAAAAAATAAACAATAGAAAAATTGCAAATCGAAAAATTAAAAAAACGAAAAATAGTAAAAATAAAGAAAATAAAAAACCGAAACTAAAAATTGCAAATAGAAAATTTGAGGAAATGAAAAACTGAAGAATCGAAAAATTGAAAAATTAAAAATTGAAAAACTGGGAAATAACTGAAAAAATTAGAAAATCCAATAATCGAACTTATTAAAAAATTCTAAAATCGCAAAATTGAAAAGCGATATATTCTAAATATTGTTACACATTTAAAATGAAAACTAGATCCCTTACAAATCAAAAATTGAAGATAAGAGAAAGTAGAAAATCTAAAGGCTGAAAAATCGAAAAATGAAAAAATTTCACATTGAAAGAAAGAGAAATTATAAAGTCAGAACACTGAAAAAAGAACCGAAAATTTGAAAAAATAAAGAAACTAAAAAACAAACAAAAAATTGAAGACACGAAAAATTCAAAAACCGAAAAATTGCAAGATCAAAAAAGTTAAAACGTCCAAAAGTTGGAAAAAGTGAAAACTCGAAGAGTTACATATCCTAAAATTGAAAAAATAAAAAAAAAAGTAAAATAAAAATAGAAAAATTGCAAATCGAAAACTGTAGAAATTTTAAATAAAAAAAAATGCAAAATCTAAAAACTGAAGAAATAAAAAAATGAAAATCTGGAAAATCGCAAATCAAAAATTGAAGAAAAATTATAAAATCGAAACAAAAATTGCAAATCGATAAATCGAAAAATTAATAATTGAAAACTGGAGAAACTCAAATCGCAAAAAGTGCAAAATCTAAAAGCTGGAATATTTCACCTTGAAAGAAAATGAAATTATAAAATCAGAAAATTGAAAAGCCGAAAAATTGAAGACATAAAAAATTGAAAAATCGAAAATTTGCAAAATCTACAAGTTGGAAAATCGAAACATCGAAAAATTTTAAAATGAAAACTCGAAGAGTCACATGTCTTAAAAATAAAAAAAATAAACAATAGAAAAATTGCAAATCGAAAAATTAAAAAACGAAAAATAGTAAAAATAAAGAAAATAAAAAACCGAAACTAAAAATTGCAAATAGAAAATTTGAGGAAATGAAAAACTGAAGAATCGAAAAATTGAAAAATTAAAAATCGAAAACTCGAGAAATTTTAAATTGAAAAATTGCAAAATCTAAAAAGTGAAGAAACAAAGAAATGAAAATCTGAAAAATCACAAATCAAAAATTGAAGAAACCAAAAACTGAAAAAAACTAAAATTGAAAAAACAAAGAAAACAAAAACCAGAAACAAAAAATTGAAGACATGAATAATTGAAAAATCGAAAAATTGCAAAATTTAAAGTTGAAACATCCAAAAGTTGGAAAATCGAAAAATTGAAAAATTGAAAAATGAAAACTCAAAGAGATACATATCTTAAATTTGAAAATTAAAAAAAAAAAAAACAGAAACAAAAATAAAAAACCGAATCTAAAAATTGCAAATCGAAAATTTGAAGAAACCAAAAACTGAGAAAACTGAAATTGAAACAACAAAAAATTCTAAAATCGAAACATTGCAAAATCAAAAAATTGAAAAAATAAAAAAAAACAAAAACCAAAAACGAAAAAGTGAGGATATGAAAAATTGAAAAATCGAAAAATTGCAAAATCTAAAAGTTGAAACATCCAAAAGTTGCTCAATTGAAAAATTTAAAAATGAAAACTCGAAGAGTTACATGTCTTAAATTTGAAAAAGAAAATAAAAAATAGAAACATTGCAAGTCGAAAAATTGTAAAAATAAAAAACCGAAACAATGAAAAAGTTTAGAATCGAAAAATTGCAAAAACTAAAAACTGAAGAAACAAAACTTGAAAAAACTGAAATTGAAAAAACAAAAATTTAGAAAATCTAAACATTGAAATATAAAGAAAATAAAAAACCGAAACGAAAAATTGCAATCGAAAAATTAAAAATTGAAAACTCGAGAAAGTCAAATTGAAAAATTATTGCAGTATCTAAAAACTGAAGAATTTCACTTTGAAAGAAAGAGAAATTATAAAATCCGAGCATTGAAAAGCCGAAAAATTGAAAAAATAAAGAAAATAAAAAACAAACACATCAAATTATAAACCAATAATTGAAGACTTGATAAATTGAGAAACTGAAAAGTTGAAAAAACCAAAAATTGAAAAAAATGAAAAATTACAAAATCTAAAAGTTGAAACATCAAAAAGTTGGAAAATCGAAAAGTTGAAAAATTTAAAAACGACAACTCAAAGAGTTACATATATTAAAATTGAAAATAGAAA